GAGTAGCGTGATATTCTTACTTACTCGTGTAGCTCATTTTTCATTAACCATTTCAGATCAAGATGACTAAGATCCAGAGCCCGATCCACAAGAGAGTTTCGAGCAGGATGCTTAGTTGTTTATTTTTCATTATTTCTTTGATTTTTGATTATTTCTTTTAAAATGGTCATTCTCGTGACCCTATTGAGTAATCTGAATTATTGTGTAAAGAATGTAAACCCTAACTATTTATTTCGTTTCTGCATTTAATTCATAATTTATTTCCTTTCAAGTTCTCGGATCGTTACACTAAATCGGTAGCAAATTGATCAAACCAATTTACTAATTAAGATTGGCGTCTATCAACACTACTTAACTACCGGATAGCATGAAACTTACAATTACTTTTAAGAACTTGTTAAATAATTATGTAATATTTTTTTCTGTCACTATTGCTCCTAGTTAACTTTAGGATATGATTTAACTGTCAAATCTCAATAGGTAACTAACCATGTTATATGTCAATTATAATTGACTAATGAATAACATAAGAAACTAATTTTTTTTTTCATTCAATGATCCTGATCAAAATTTAATTTAGTCGTTATAATAAATGACAATAGAGAGCTTAAACTTATTATCAAAGTTGACAGATTCTGTTTTGATCAATCATTAATTCTATAAGTATTTAATCACACTCAATATCTTGTCAATTATAGTTCTATGAGTATAGGTGCTCAGAATTAAAATATGATTAATGACTTATTAATTATTATGTTGATCTCAAGTCAAAAAAAATTCTTACATTTCATCATTTTAAAAGAATATTTTAATGACAGTTTAAGATAATATTAACCGTTAAGAATTCTTAGTTTGTTTGGTTTAATGATCATATCTCCATATGAATCATTTATATATGTGATTTAGTTAATGATATCAACTAGTTTTTATTTTATAAAAACGGTCACATATATATTAGTTTTACCGGATTATTAGTGTCTTATTTTGTTGATCAATGACTAAGAATATTTTAGATTAAATTATAAAAAATTTTACTCTAATTATTAAGATCTCTATCTTAATGTAAAATCTCTAAATTTAATTAAAAATTTTATCATATAAATTAAATAATAAAATAATAAATATGATAATAAAAATAGTATCGTCATATATTAAAATAAATTATCAAATAATAATGTATTCAATATATTACACGAATAATTTAATTTTGAACATAATAATTATATCCCTAATAATGTTAGATTGTAGATTATATGTTAGCCATGTGTAAAATTTCAAACTTACTATTGAAATTACTTTAGTTAAATATTTGTGTTTAATTCTGGTCGCAAGGTTTCAAAATTTATCCTATCCATTTGACCAAAAATAAATAAATTTTCACATTTGCTTTTGTGAGATGGTAGATTATATATTAGCCATGTGTAAAATTTTAAACGTACGATTGAAATTACTTCAGTTAAATATTTGTGTTTAATTCTGGCCGGGAGGTTTCAAAATTTATCTTAGCAATTTCACAAAAAAAAAAAATAATAATAATAAATACCCACATTTGCTTGCGTGAGACGGTAGTGTGTAAAATTTGGAACTTACTATTGAAATTACATAAGAAAAATTAGTAGCATAGCAAAAAAAAAAAAAAAAAAAAACATAGTTATTAGTTACTATAATTAGAGTAATAGTGAGATTGAGAATGCTAATAATGATACCAGTAGAGTAGTATGATAATAATGTTGATGAGAAGTACGATATTAACAATGATAATTAGAGAGACAATAATTATAATAACAATGATGATAAAAATAAAGATAATAATCAAACTGATGCAATAATAATAATAAAATAACAATAATTATTATAAAATAAAAAGAGTAGCAGCAATATCGCGATACCGATGATTTACTCTTTTGAGGGAGAAAACTAATTCATTTTGGTTGAGACTTAAGACGCTGAAAAAATTAAAATATATTAAATTTTTTTAATTTGAAAAATAAATAAAATTAAAAAATTTTCATTCAAATAAATCAAAATTATCATAAAATTTTTCTTTGTACATATAATTTAATATGCATATACTATAAAGTAATACATCAAATTTTACAGGTGCAAAATTCTCACGGCTCCGAAACCAAAACCGAATTACTGACCCAGAAATACTATGTTCATTTTTTCATTATTCGTTGAGATGCATTAGCGTCGGGGCACCAAATCAGATCCGGCATATTTTGAGCCCGTTAACCACGACACGTCAAAATTTCCTCTATTTTTCAACGGTTCTGATTCGACGCCAGTTAATTGGATTTTTGATTGTACACCTCGAAAAGTCAACCCTCCAGCCCCTGACCATCACTTCTCAACGACAAGACCTGGCTGTCGTTTTAATTCACCACCAGACTTTCTAGAACCAGGTCTTTACTAGCGTACAAGCGCCGCACAGCTATTAGATCTCCAAAACCCTAACATAATCCCCCCAATCCGAAGAACCCTCGATGTTCTTCGCTCCTACACTCCCCTGAAGTAGTTTTCCTCCCTCAACTGGCTCTTTCTATCTAGATTTTTTTTTTTTTCGTAGTGGTAAAATGGAGGGCCTCTGTTTAAACGCCGTCGTTTCGGAGAGCTTCATGTGCTGGGTGATGCAAGTAGTGGCGGTCGAGACAGCCATTGTCTCTGTAAACTCTCTCGCTTGGTCCCTATTGATGGTTCGTGCTCTCTATCTCTGTCTTTTCGCTTCAATTTTTGTAAATTTGATGAATTTTGTTCCTTTTATTTGTGTTTGTTCTGATTTTTCTTTAAATTTGTTAGAAAGTTAGTCTTTGCTATGTCCGGCGGTGTTGTATTGTATTCTCAGAGCTTGAATTGTTCCTATTTTAGCTTCAATTCATGTTATCTTTATCTCTTGTTCTTTTCTGCTTTAAATGGGAAAACCCTAGTTATGATGAAACTGAGACGTGTTGATTTTTTTAGGTTGCTTGTTTTTAACTCTTTTCTTTTAGGTTTTGAAATTGTCTTGACCAGCGAGGCAGTCACTTTCAGTATACCTTTATATCTTGAGACCTTGTTAAATTAGTAGCATGATTTGAAGGGTATTTAAAACCTTAGGTTCTATTTGGTACAAAAAAATAATTTTTGTGTTTAATTTCTTACAAACAAATATATTATTACCTAAAAACATTAATGTTTGTATGCGTATCTATGGTACATTAAGTATAAAAAAACAGTTATCTCAAGTGCCACTTTTAGCCTCCTACTATACTTTTACTTCCGTTTTCTAATTATTGTTTTCATTTTTCAACTTTCACGTGCTTTTATGCATAGACTTATGAGCGTATGGAAAATGAAGAGTGGAAAATATTTTTTTTTTCAAACACAACTTATTCCAACTTTGTATATTCATAATCTGTTTGGTTTTTGAAGAAACTGTTTTCATGTCTGCTAATAGTCTTGGTAAAAGTGGTTATATGAAACTTAGAGCAATGGATTTGTAACTCCTGTGCTAGTTGTGTAAATTTTTTGTATGTTCTGATTTCAAAAGAGTGACAAGATGTTTTTGCTGAGGTTAATGTTATTTAGGTTAATGCTATGTGTTTGCATAATTAAAAGTGTGAAGCTTCACAGTATGGGTATATTAAGGACTGGAGTGACTTTGTCAATTATCAGTTTTGGCATCTGATTCATGTTGGGATAGTAATGCTTCTGCATAGGAATGATTACATATCTAGGGTTTTAGTCATTTTCATGCGATTTGAAAATTTGTGCCTCCACTTTTAATCATGCTTAAAAAGGAAAGGATAGCAGAATGTTCTTTTGTTAACTTGATTATTATCTGAATCAGCAAAACTCTTCATCGTAAGCTCTTGTTCCCAATAAAACTTTTCATCGTAAGTATGATTGACATTCTTTTTCTTCTCTTTTTGGATAGCATAGAGACACTGAAACATCAATTATTGTGTTAAAATGGTGCTTCAACTTGTACCACCCATAACATTGGTTAACCATTAAGTGCAAACTGTCCTGTCGACAATGTGGTTCTTTGTAGCTATTGGTTGTGTTGTATCACCGGGTATAGCTGTCTGTTCTTTTTTTTTTTCTTCTGTTTAATTCTCTTAAAATCTTCATTATGCTTTGCAATTTGTCAAATATCGATATTTTTGCCTCAAACACGAGTTTGTAACTTTTTCAGATGGGATCTTTGCCTAATGTAATTGATACTTCTCCCAAAGAGCCTGAGACTTCTGGAGGGTTAGTCCTATAGTCTTTTTTTTTTGTGTTGCCCTAATTCCTGATTCTTTGGAAGGGAGATGATAAGTTAGTTAAATCTTGCAGGTTTCCGCTTGCTCAGCTTCATGCAGTGAGAAAACCTGATCCTGGGAACCAAGACAGCAGTGATACCGAGGATGACGAAGATGACGAAGGTGAAGATGCTGCAGATGATCCCAATGAAGATGGAGGGGACGAGGAAGATGGGTCAGAAGACGAGGATGGTGAAGATGACCCTGAGGATGACCTGGCCAATGGAGGTGGTGGTGCTAGTGGAGAGGAGGAGGATGAGGAGGATGACGATGAAGATGAAGATGAAGATGGGGAAGAAGATGAGGAAGAGGAGGAAGAAGAAGAAGAAGAGGAAGACGAAGAAGAGCCTGCTCAGCCACCGGCTAAAAAGAGGAAATGAGGCTATATTTTCTTTTTCTTTTTTAACCTTTTTTAATTTGCTTAATGAGAGTAGGATTGTGGGTTAGTAGGAGTTCAGGATTGGTGGGTTGTCTGTCTGAATTAGAACTGAAGATTGCAACATTCTGGATGAACTTGTTTATTTCAATATCAAAGCTTTATCATCTTATATTTTGATTCGGACCAAATACTCGCCCTTCTTCAAAATTTGCTTATAATTTTTGAAAAACCTTGAAACTGACTTTGATGATTCAGAAGGAAAAGAAGTTTAAGATAATGGCTCAACATGAACTATCTTTCTCTAAAGTGGATGTACTTTTAAATTCCTTTAAAAAGAAGTGGAATTTATTAGGCAATTGTTCAGACTCCATATGTTTATAAAGACAATGACAACAGTATTAATATATTATATATAAAAATAAAGCTAATTGAACATTGGTAGTTTGAATTCATGTGACATCTGTTTTGTGGTAGTTTTTTTCACTGTGTATTTGAATTTATAATTACTAATATTAATTATATATATAATAGATAAATTATAAAAATACAATTTTAGAAATGATGATGTGAAGATTAATGATTGAATTAAGTGAAGAAGTCCACCTATTGTATGCGACAAGTATTAAGTACATGCAAGATGATCATTTCCCAAATAAATATTGAAAAAGTCTCCACAAACCTCTTCCTCAAGTTTCAAGCACAACAAAAATAAAAATAAAAATAAAAACAGTTGAGCTACACAACTCATATAAAACATCTTATTAGTCTTAATTATATATTTAAAATTTTTCTAAAAAAAAAAAAAAGATTTACATAAAAACTCATAGTTAAAAATTTAAGCAACACTGAAAGAATTGGCGGTGCTCTCCACAAACTTTCTTGCTCCCTTAAACCACCTCTTGTCTCCGGCCTGAGCTTTGCAGATGTAAAGCTTGCCATTGTTAACAGTGGCTGTAATCAGCTGGTGCTTCCCTCCTTCGTCTCCGTCCGCTGTCCTTGTCAACACCGACAAAAAGTAGTATTGTTTTCCGTTCACCTCCCTGGTCTCTGACTCCAATATGTTGGCTGTAGCTACTGCGTTGTCCGTGAAACCTCCCTGACCAATTCAATTTCCATTCCCATATTAACAAACTTCTAAATTTTACTTTTGTAAGTGTAAAATGAACCAAACGCAAAGTCAGCATTAGCAGGTTTTTGTCATGAGATGTAGATATCGCGCCAATATTCAGCTAGCGCGAATGAAACCCAGCATAGGATATTGAGATGAGAAAATCCAAGTTTGGCTATTACTAATTTGATTTCTGAGTTGAGATCCAAATGAAATTTGAAAGCCAAATGGTCTGGAATTGGTTTATGGACAAACACAATTTCCTTTTGCCATAAAACACTTAGTATATCAAGTTACCTCAGCATCAGTGGCGCCAAAAAATGACTGTTTCCCCAGTAAGAAGTCCACCTGCAGAGAAGCAGATCAGTCAGCTTAATGTCATGCCTACTAACATGTATATGTATATGTATATGTATGTGTATATATAATGTACACATGTATATGTGTATATAAACTGTCTTAAAACAGTAACTATGATGTTAGAGCCAAGATATCCTTGGTTTCTCAAATCTCGCCACTAACAAGTAGTTACTAATTTACTCACACTTTATTTATTATTATGCATTTAAAATACACAAAGTCTTTTAAACTCTTTTTTTCAATTTATTTTCTCAATATTTGCCGTTGAATCTTTTTTCTTAGTAAAAATTTATAAAATTTATTAATTAGATGATACATACACGTTCAAGTATATCACAATTTTTTAATAAGAACACACAACAACATACAATCCGATTTAAATACACAAATTTTTATAAAAGATAAAAAAAATATCAACCATTTAGTCAAAAAACAAACAATACTATCAAATTTTTTAAATCATATAATTTGCTTGCAATAAATGGATGAAAAGAAGTGTTAACAATAAATAAAGCTATTTTTTATTAACTTGGTTTTTGTCTTGCATTTGGTTCAATTTTCATTTTTTCCCACTTAATTTTCTCTCTAATGTTAATATCACATGCGATATTTGATTTAGTACACATTTATGTTTCATTTCATCTTTCGCCATGAACTCAAATATTCAATTCCCACTTTAATTCACAGGAATATGAATTCTCACCTTCCAGAGAAGTGAGATTAAACAATGAAATTATATGTTAATTCTACATGTCAAGACTAACCTGAATGTCGAAAATAGTAAGAATTTATATGATTTATTAGTTGATACAAGTATAAATATAAAATAAATTTATGAATTTATTCCAAATATTACCTTATAATTATGGGTAATCCATAGACCTATGCTTAAATCCTTGGGAAAACACATTGAAAACAAGAAGCAATGGACATAGAGATGTGTTATATACCTGAGAAAGGAACTGCTCGGGGGAACCATAATCTGAGATGGTTTTCTTGTCAGTGGGTGTTACCATGACGGAGACATTGCTTGTGGAGTCGAAGTTGTCCTCGTACCGGAGAACCTGACCGGGATACTCGACCTCTTTGCTAGGGTTCCATTTTGACGGAATCGATAGCTTGAATCCATCCCCATTGTATGGGAGGTAGTCCGTGTTTGTTTTTGGCTTCCCAAATACATTTGCTGCAATCAACACCAATTTAAGACACTATTAGCGGAATGATGTGCCCTCGGATGTCAATTAGTTTATCGAGAACGTATCTATGACAAAATAGAAATGATTAAACTAATTTCACCTATATTTTCAATTTCATAACGGTAAAGTTTGATCATCGATTTGTCAATGGAGAAATTTGAAATTAACAGGTATGAAATGTAATGAAACTAACGAAGCTTGAACAGAAAACAAAGGCGAAATTAATTTTGTAATTACCAGCTTCACCGTAGGCAGCATCAGCAGGAGAAACCTTGGCGCCAATTGCTGCAGCTCCAATGAGCACAGACAGAGCCAACCTACGTGACACAGTATTTGCGTCCTCTTCCTGGGCCGCCTGCTTCTGGGCCCGGCAGACTACTTGGGCCGGCCTGATGTTCGACACGTGGCGCTGCGATGGGCTGGACGGTGATGATCTGGTGGAAGCCGCGAGTGCATGGTGGTGCAAGAAGCATGCAGTTGAGGCCATTTCTGCTTCGCGGAGTGTGGCAAGTGAAAATCAAAAGGTAGGTGGGTTAAGCAAGAAAATGTTTTGTGATATGTAGAGTATTGGCTGGTTGTGGATATGGGGAGGATGCTGATGGAGAAGGGATTAGATTTTTGATGAAGGATAAGGTTGTAGAGGCTCTGATTGGTGCCACGTGGCAGTACATTCTTCCTTTATCCATTTTCAGAAGAGATCTTGATTATGATTTTTTTTTTTTTAAATTTTGATTTTTTTTTTCCTCTTTCAGGGTGTCAATTATTGCCCTATTTTTATAATTAAAATAAATAAATAAATAAAATTGTGGCTGAAAATGAGACTCATTGGAAAGTGAAGCAATGACAAAAATATGATGCAAAGTTATTTTCTAATTGGTTTTTTTTTTTTTTTTTTGCAATTTTTCTAGTGTTATATTTACATATTTTTTATTTAATCCGTAACACCCCAGCTTGGGATTGAGGGTCGAGATAATTAAATTATATTAATAAATAATTTTAAAAAAATTTAATTTTAATTTTTCTTAAAAAATTTGGAAAAATATGCATTTTGGGTGTGTTTGAAAATAATTTTCAAAAATTATGATTAAATTAAAAATAAAAAATGACTTATTTGAAAATAAAATTAAAAAAATTGGGGTAGAAGTGTAAAAAATAAAAAATAGGTCACGTAGGACTGACGTCAGCAGCACGGACAATCGCCATGTGTCGTGTGGCAGACACACGAATATGCGTCCACGTGGGCAATCCACGTGCCAACTGATCTGACGGTCTAGATCCACTTTCGTGCGCATAAACGATCCAGATTCGGTTCTCATTCATATGCAATTGAACAGTCCTAATTGCATTCGATCATGCGGTCCTAATTCATTCTCTAAATAAGATGGATCCGACGATTGAGATTGGGTCACGCCTCTATGAACGGATGGTCCGGATTGAATGAAGAGAAGTATTTAAACTCATATTCCACTGAAACCCTAACCTTAACTGCAACCAACTCGCCGAAGAAGAAGAAGAAGAAGGGTGACCGGAAGAGAAGCCAACCACCGTTGCTGACACCAAAAGGTGAGTTTTTTTTTCCCCTTTCGATTCGTATTTCGATTCTAAGCCACTCCAAACCCATATCGACACTGAAAAATAAAAGGAGAAGCTAAAAACAAAGGATGGAGCTTGGCTGAGTCGTTGCACCCATGACCCAAAACCCCTTTAGTGAGCCCGAATCTCTTTTCTGTTTTATTTCATTTTCCGACCATTGGATTCTTGACTCTTTTCTTGTGCAGAGTGACAGAAGAAAACCTCTGACTACGAGGGAGGAACGACGGAGCTGCTACCCCGAAAAACCCACCCACCAGTAAGTTTCATTTTTTTTTTCTTTTTTCTGCCAACAAAAGCCAGCTAACCTCGAGTTTTGCAAGTTTTCGCACAGAATCGACTAAAACCGGTCAGACCAAGAGGAGGCACCACCGTAGGCGGCGAAGCTGACGCCAAAGCATGATGACGCCGCCATGCCAGAATCCTAGACCCGACCCAAAAAAAAATTAAAACTCTTTTTTTACCCTTTCTTGGACATTTTGATATATGTAACGACTGTTTTCGATTTTCACATAAACATCCAAAAAATTCGAGAACCACTTGAAAGTGCAGTGAAAAAAGTAGTATTTTGAACACTAACTCGGGATAAGAATCTCTCATTCTTTATTCCATTACGGTTAATTAAAGTTAAATAAATAATAAACGGTAAAATTTGTAAATATTAGCAACCTCTAATTAGTTAAATACAGGTCACTAATGGAGCTGATAATTAGTCAGTATATAATGACTTATTTTGTTTGTACTGTTCATTTATTGCTAGGCTGTTATTGTTTGCTTACCACATGCACTTTAATTCATTGGTTTAATTGTCTTCTCATTTATTAGTTTACTTATTCATTTTATCCCTATCAGTTGATTAGTTTGAACTACATGTTCTGATTACGCTCTCTTTAATTATTAAGTATTAAATTGTATTATCTACTAATTTATCGTTCTATTTTCATGTAATTATGAAATGAGATTGTTGTATGTAACTGGTGGCTAGTTGATGATGTTGACATGCATGTATTAAATTAACGTATCAAACTAAAAGACTTACTGGGTGTCATGAAAAAAAGTATACAAACTGAGTACATTAAAAAAAGATTACCGTGGGTGTTACTCTCAATCAAACGGGGCTAAGAAGTCCCATATAGGAAAGGGTTGGGAAGTGTTTGTCTACGCTCATACCAGATACGTTATTGAGGCAATGATACGTTTGACGCTCATTACCAGACGGGGTATGAGGATGATCGACTGATTAATGATTGGATATTGGGTCCACGTATAGTGATGACCCTTATGGATCTCCAGCGGCACTGATAAGTAGCTAAAAAGGTAAAGCTTGGTCATTGTTGGTTTGGTAGAGTATTTTATACATTGTTATCCTGATTCTTCCTTCATAAATAGCATTAGAGAACTTAAAAGATGAGTATGAGATTAACATTTTTTTAAAATTAAGTGAATTTATAAAAAAAAAATAACTTTATTGGTTGTTTGCGATTTTTTTCACCAATCTTTAATTTTTCGTATCGGTAATAAAGTGTTAACATTCTTACTATGTTAGTATAGTTCATCTCTCTTTATTAAAATTTCAAATCAAAACGATTAAAATTCGGATCCTGAGTAACAGGAAAGTTAGTAATTGAAGATTGTCTCCCGATTTCTACCAGTTGCACAGCGAAAGTCGACCCCATAGGTTTATAATTATACTTTTCTTTCTATTATTTCAATTTTTTTTAAGTGACATTTTTGTTATTCTATTGAGCATTTAATTAAACTGTGCAAAAAATATAAATCCTAAATTTTTAATTGTTTCTGCTAATATCTTATTGGTTCAATTTTATTATTCATTTTAAAATTCGAACCTTTATGTAATTTTAAATATTTAAATATTAATTTTTTAAAGTCATTTACTTAAGAGTGTCATATTTTTTCTACTATATATAAATGTAAGAATAAATTATTAAATTAATTTTTGACATTTGATATTTGTTATAGTTTCTGGTTTTAATTTTTTTTTTTACAAGTTAGCTCTTAATAATTTCTGTTTGTTTCAACATTTAATTTACTTTTTTTAATAAAAAAGATAAAATGATTAAATTATGTTAGTATATTTTAAAGAATAGTTAAAAAATAATTTTAACTAATTAATTTTTTAATTAAATTTATTTTTATGAATTATTATTTTTAATTATTCAAATATAGTATAATAATTTTATTTTTATTTTTTGTCAAACAATGAAAGTAAACTATGTATTTGAAATAAATAAAAACGTTGGAGATTAAATTGTAATAAATAAAATATTAAAGATCAAAATATAATAAATTTAAAATGATATGGATTGATTTCGTAATTTATTCTAAATTTATTTCATTTTCAAGCATTTTTTTTAAGTTGTTTTTCTTAGTAGTTTTCTTAATCTAAATTATATATATATATATATATGTCTTTTATTTTCAAAATTTCCACACCAAGCATAATTTCTCGTGGAAGTATATATATATTAAAAATTTTACATTTTATGTATTTTTTATTTTTTTAAACTTAATCAAACCCCTTTTATTATTATTATTATTTTTTCCTTTATACTAGTTATATTTTTATCGTAGTTATCAATAAATTTAAAAACGTAAAAGCGAATAAATGTTACAAAATGAAGAAAGGAGAAAGAACAATAATAATAAATTATTAAACTTACTAATAATATCACTAACAAGACTAAAATTACATGAAAGACCTGCAAAAACCCTAGAATCTTAATAGTCCAACATTCAAGAACAAGCAGTTTGGGAACGAACTGGCTAATAAAAGGGAATCAAGTGTACCAGGCACTTGTTAAGGATTTGAGTGTGAGTGTGTGTATATATTACTTTCTATATTTATGGTAGAACACATGGAATCCCGATTTGTATGAAGTTCTCTATTTTAGGCCTCCCAAAAAAGAAAATATATATCTATAACTTTTTTCCATTATTATTACAGGCAGAATTATAAAAACTTTTTTCCTGAAATTATCAAATCCTTATTCGTTACAGTTGAGATTGAATTTATATTTCATTTTTATTGTTTTAATTATTTATAAGACCTCTTCATTCTGATCAAGTTGTATCACTCCATCTTAATGTGATTTCACAATTTAATACGTGAATCTAACAAGACCCCATTTTCTTACCATTTGTTTTTAACTCCTCATGCAATGTATTCCTTAAAATAAAACAAAAGATTGGAAAATAAGAAAAACAAACAAGTGTGGGTCATTAGATATCAAGTTCTTATTAAATATATATAGACCTAAAAACTCGTCAACCCATTAATCAAGAACAAGCAATCTGGGAAGAAATAGCCTTAAAAGGAAAGGAAGTGTTCCAAGCGTAGGTGAAATTTGCAATTGAGTGTCCGTAAACCGGCAGCCCGTTGTTAAGGAGACATTCATCGCCAGATTTGGCTAACACAGAAGAGTCAATTGGCTCGGCTGTCTGAAATCCTTCGCAATCCAACTTCACATCTAATTGAGTGCATGTACAATTGTTTTCGATTTTAACTTCCCACTCGATTTGACTCTCAACTTGACGACCCGTTGTAGATTGGGTTACTATTAGATCATCATACGAGCATTCGCACGACGCTACATTGCATAAAAAAATTATGTTTAGTACTTCATCATTATGTATATATATATAACTTAGTGACCATCTATTTTCTACCATAAATAAAATATCACATTAGATGGAAGGAAAGAAACTTGTACCTTTGGCAATGAAGCCAATGAAGAAGATAACTAGCAGAAAGTTGACAATGGCTGCCATGAGTGGAATTTCTAGCTTATTTGAAAAAAAGAAAAAAAAAAAAATTCCTTTCCTTTGTTGATTTGATGAAAGTTACGCTATTAACTTGCTTTATTTATACTAGTACATTACATGGTAATGGTAATGGTAATTAATAATATGTAATAATTTTTACGTTGACAGTATATATATATATATATATATATATATATATACGAAATCCATCACCATTTATTGAAAGTTATTGAGAATATATGAAAACAACACCGTTTCACAATTCCTTCTTTAATATCTTCTTTGCTTATTAATAAATTTCGCAGCTTTTCACGTTCGAGTTTCCTTTTCTATCCGTTTATATTTGACTCAGCATTTAAATCCATAATCAAATATTACGTGTCAGAATTAACTGCGAGGGAAAGAAATAAATATATAGAGTGAAAAGTAAGACTAAATATGCAGATTTCTTCAGATTTTTAGTATTTTACTATTTATAGTAGAGTCAATACACTCATTGATAAATTCATTATAAAATTTCATCATGTCAAATCTCAATTATTTATAAGGTTTTCATATCTTTTAAGATACAAAAAGAAAGGTCGAGGATGCATAGTGCTCTAGAAAAGAAAATAAAAGAGCATTAAAGAATGAGATTGTAATGAAACTTGTTTTATATTAGTTAGGAAATATGATCAACTAAAGATTATCTAAATCTTTTCAGGATTTGTTAGAAAACTGATGCTATGACTTATCTGTAAGTATATAACTAGCACATCTTGAAGGTTTTGGTGTGCTCCTAATAAAAAAATTAGTATCATAGACAGTAATTTCCCAGCTTCAGGTATATTTTTTTTAAGTGCCAACCCTATGATATTCGGATCAACACAGAATAACCATGAAGAGGAGGGAGAAATTGGAGACTGAGAGCAACAAGATCCAATGACATGATCTTCCAAAAGGGTCCTTGATTGAGAGTATATACGCATAAGGAAATTATTGAAATTCAAAAAATTAAAGAGAACGCATTTTGATTGAGTGTAATATTGCTCTAATTTATTTATTCATGCATGTTACACAATCTTCCCAATTAACTATTCCGTAAGTACCAGATATCCATCACCTCTTATATATATATATATATATATTGTTCGGTTAACAAGAAATATCTGAATCAATTTTCTTACTACCAGAGGAGTTATAATGTTTAAGGTAATAGCGTGCTGGTATGTGTGGTTGTATGTTATATTTTTGGTGATGAGAAGAGGATGTGGAGATGTGATTGAAGGCAGAGTTTTGATAAATGGAACAGCCAGAATTGCAACAACAGATTCTGATTTCATTTGCGCCACTTTGGATTGGTGGCCTCCTGAGAAATGTGATTATGGTACTTGTAGCTGGGGTCGAGCTTCTCTCCTAAACCTAGTAAAGCTCGTACTCCAGTCTTTCGTTATTTTTTTGAGGGCATAGAATTGTCTTTTGATATAGTGAAGGATTTCAGTTCCAGACTCAAAATCTTTTGTTAAGAATCATCATCTTTTTTCTCACGAGTACTTAAGGAATCTATTTGATATGTTTAATAGACTTGCAAAGATTATGTATGCATTTCACTAATGATCTTATTTGTGTTCACTTTCTTTTCTCTACAGGACCTTAGCAATAAGATACTGCTCAATGCTGTTAAAGGTAAAGAAGCGTCTTTGCAGACATGCAAGGAATATTTATGAGTTATAATTAGTTTTGTACATATGTATAATGTACATATATATATATATATATATATATATAGTGATCACAGACACTGTCGTGCAGCACTTTCTCCATTAAAACTCAGATTGGGTGGTACCTTACAAGACAAACTGATATATCAGACTGAAGGAAGTCAATGCCAACTGTTCACTAAAAATGAAACCGAGATGTTTGGTTTCTCTCAAGGTTGCTTGCCCATGTCTCGATGGGATGAACTTAATACTTTCTTCAACATATCTGGGCAAGTTTTTTTAACTTTAAACTTATACATACAGATTTAGAAGTTGAAACAGAAGCAGATATTCTCTAAAGACACTAACAATTTTATGTTAGATAAAAAAATTTCAAACCACAAAAACTAAATTTTCACAAAAGTTAAAGTTACTTTAAATCAAACCAGAGGAAGTGAAATTATAGTTTCCAGATGAGAAAAACCAAACTCCTTCACTTTGACATTCTGATTAATGTAATACAGGGCTCTGGTTATTTTTGGATTAAATGCACTGAACGGGAGGACCATAACCCCAGATGGTAAAGCTGTGGGGGCTTGGGATTCAAGCAATGCTGAATCTCTCATCCGTTATACTGTCAATAAAGGCTATTCAATCCACGGATGGGAACTTGGTAACTCCTCTATTCTTAAGCTTAATATATATTTTCACGAGACTAAACTAGAACAATACTACTACCTTTTATCCATCATAATCTTAATTGGTAGTTAATATAATATGTGTCATTTATATATGAAGTTTCTGGGGGTGAATTGTTAGGAAATGAACTGAGTGGGGTAGGAATCGGAACAAGAGTGGCAGCAGATCAGTATGCATCAGATACAGATAATCTTGAGAGGATTGTGCAAAAGATATACACAGTAGAAATACCTAGGCCTCTCTGGAAGCCTCTTGTCATAGCCCCTGGAGGGTTCTTTGAAGCAAATTGGTTCACAGAATTCATAAACAAATCTTCTCAATCTGTGGAAGTTGTCTCCCACCACATTTACAACCTTGGCCCAGGTATAGTAAATTGTAGGTTTGATTCGAACCGTATTTCCATTTATATCTGGCTTAACATATCATGTTTTAATTTAGGGTCGGACAGTAATCTGGTGAACAAAATCTTGGATCCAAAATATCTAGATAATACTGGACGTCAGCCATTTAGAGATCTCCAAGGCATTCTAGCAAGCTCAGAAAGTTCAGCAATGGCATGGGTTGGTGAAGCAGGAGGGGCTTATAACAGCGGCCGTCATCTTGTCAGCAATGCATTTGTGTACAGTTTCTGGTAATTAATCAAACCTTAAATCTTCTTATTGAATGACTACTCTTGACTCATCAAGAATGAAACAACAGGTATTTGGATCAACTTGGAATGGCAGCATCCTATGAAACCAAGACATATTGCAGGCAAACATTGGTTGGTGGCAATTACGGCCTACTCAACACTACTACGTTTGTTCCAAACCCTGATTACTACAGGTAATTCTTCCGTGTCCATGTAGCTTTATTACCAAACGACATGGTGCCTCCGAGGCACCATAACCAAACACATAACCAGAAACTGATCATGATGCCCTTAGAATAAAGAAGGGTGTGTGTTATTCATAACTATCCTTCTAACGTTGATATCAGCATGCATATTTTTACAGTACGTATATATAGTTCTGGGGTTCAACTCAGAATGTAGTTTACAAGAGAGGAAATATTTTCCGGAAAAACAAGTTAGATAAATCTTGGTTTTCATATGGACTGTGCAGCGCTCTTCTTTGGCATCGATTAATGGGACCTAAGGTGTTATCTACCAAATTTTTGGGGACAGACAAAATTCGTGCTTACGCTCATTGTTCAAAAATCTCTGTAAGTAAAATATTAAATTTCATCCACAGTCAAACTTAGAAATTACAACTAAACGTATTTGGTTTTCTGTGACAGCAAGGAATCACAGTATTGTTAATGAACCTGGACGGGGAGAACACAGTTAATGCTAATGTTTCAACTGAAACCGAAGGCGTTGTTCATGGAAATATTCAAAGGGAAGAGTACCATTTAACCCCAGAAAATGGAGACATACACAGTCAGAGTGTTCGTCTCAATGGGGAAGTTATTTCAGTTGATTCATTTGGCATCATACCAGAGTTACACCCAGTCAGAGTCAACGTGAAATTTCCAATCATTGTTGCTCCTTTCTCCGTTGTATTTGTTCATATTCCCACTCTCAAGCTTCAGGCTTGTATGTAAGTGCAGACAAGTAATTTGTATTCATTGATTTGACAAATTAATGAAACAATACATCCCAAATTTTATCATAACACAAAACTGTAAATCCTAAATTGAATCCAAGAAAACCGCACATCAATGAAACAAAAACAAAAATCATAAACTTCCCTGATTAACGTAGCAAACTTTGAATAATGCTAATAAACAGGGAGGGAGAAAAAGGAACCTGATGAGAACATCGAAGTGCTACTTTCATTATGGCTGAGATTATTACATTCTAACATTCATCAAAGTGTATAGTTGATGAAGAAAACAACTAGACCAGTAAACGCTGAGACAGATCTAGTGTGCGAGTCTGAGTTATTGAGCGGAAGAAAGTGAGGAAGAATCTGGAAAAACAGAAGATCTTTTCTTCTGAGGTAAATACATGGAACTAATGTGTATTTACAAAATAACCCCAACTTTACATAAATAAAAAATACAGCCCTTTTATTTACAAAACTACTTACCTTGGATACTCTAATATCCCATCTCCCCCCCCCCCCTCCAAGCTGGAGTATACAAATTCTATATATCCAGTTTAAATACAAGTGCTGTAAATCTTGAAATGGAAAGTAGCTTGGTGAAACAGTCAGGCAGCTGATTGGAAGAAGAAACAGAGTGCAACTGAATGATACCTGCCGCAACTTTCTGTCAAATGAGATGACAATCAATTTCTATATACTTCGTTCGCTCATGAAAAACTAGATTTTTAACAATTTTTATTCCTGACAAATTATCACAAAAAACTACAGCTAGATAGTGATTCACGAGCAGATCAGTAAGCAAAAAATGGAGCCATTGCAGCTCACAACCAATGGTAGCAAGAGCCCTGTATTCTGCTTCAGAGGAAGACCGAAATATAGTTGATTTTTTTTTTCATTTTTCAAGAAATAAGAGCATCTCCGAGAAAGATACAAAAATCAAT